ACCAAAAATCCCATTGAAAAAATATTCCTACCCTCAAATACCAAAAAAAAAAAAAAAAAAAAAAAAAAAAAAGTACTTCTGTCAGGACATTTTCAGTTTACAGATGTTTTCTTTAACCCTAAAACACAACACAAAACAATATATAATTCAAGATATCAAACACCTGTGAAAAATAAATTTGGAAAATTTCTTCATATCAACACAGTACACTGGACCCTAATTTTACTGACTTTTAAAAAGAGTGTTTATATGACAAATTGGGGTTTGATATGACCAAAAAAGTCCAAAAATCATGGTATGATTTGTTTTAAATCACTAAAGTGATACTGTAAATCATAATATAGGTATTTTTTCCTCCATAAACAAATAAATGCATTGGTTTAAATTGTAATGGGATTATCCAGTTAAATTCTTTAATGAAAGTAACTCACCTAAATTTTATATTATTTTTATATCAAATTTTTAAAATAATAAAATGAAAACAAAGCTGCTTCGAAAAATGTGAAAAGATTTACATATCCACAAAAAAGTCTGGCATCAGTGTAAAAACCGCTTCATATTACAGCATGTAACACCTGAATTAAAAAAGACCTCTAATTTTAGTTTAAAACTATATTGAAAAGTCAAGCCCTGCAATTCATATTTGTATATGCATATTTGTGTTTGTATACTGTTCAGAAGGGTGTAACTTTTAAATTGTTGTTCAGATAGAGACCCACCACTTTAGATTTCTGTAGAGTAGGTCCTTGTGCCTTTACCAGCCAAAAACTATGAATAACCGTCACCACAACATAGAGCCTTTCTAGATAGCGTCAGGTGAGAGGAAGTGAGCAGCGGAGGGGAATCTGCCCCGCTGTGGCCTCAAGAAGTTTCCTGACCTCCCTGCTTCCTCTTCACCCTACACTATAACAGCACAGTATCCCTCACAACACCATCCTGGCATGCAGTCACAGCATCAGCGGTACCAGATGTGGAAAGGATCTTGGGACTTTTGTTGAAACAGCTGCTAAGGAGACAAACATCCCTGAAGACAAAAAGTCCAGACACTGTACAACATTAAAATAAAGGCAGCATTTAGAAAAAAATGAAGGTTTACTACTAGTATCAAATAACTTGATAAGTAATGTTTCTGAGTCCACTTCAAAGTAATAATGTAAAGGGAATAATAGTTTACATTTATTTGACAATCGCTGAAACACATGATATGCCCTGAATATTCATTAAAAACAAATTATGCTTATATTACATCTAAATGCTGTTTAAGAATGCTGTTAAACACAACAGCAATGGTAGTTTAACCAGTGGCATGAGTTTGGGGCAAAACTATCAGTCATTATTATTATATTTTTAACATTTCAAACTAAAATACCCTGTTTTCACACTAGGGATGCAGCGATTAACCGGTTTCACAATTAACCGCGCTTTAAAATGTCACGGTTAATTAATCGTAAAGGCTCCGCTACACCGAGTGTTTCTGTTGCACAGAACGGAACAGTTGCAACTTGCGCAAAACGAAAACAAAGTTACACTAGTGGTGCACCAGCTTTAAATGCCGTGCTTATCAGAGACACGGAGGCTACTACACACACTAGATTAACTATGACAGAGGAACCAAACAGCGATCCTTTATTTCCACCAGAGAAATGCCTGAAGTCGATAGTGTGGGACCATTTTGGGTACACCAAGAATGACCAGGGTGTCATTTAAATATTGCCGTAGAAACCGTGATTATTCCTCAGACAATAATCGTACCAACAAAATCTATAATCGTTGCATCCCTATTTCACACACTAGAAAGTTATGCAAAATACTTGGTATGAAACCCAAAAGCATACATAGGCATCACTAAGAGATATATTTATTATATAAAATAAAGAATCATAATAAATTAATTAATAATTTATAGTAATTAGCAATTGATAATTAATTTGTAATAGTAATAATAATTGTAAGTCGCTTTGGATAAAAGCGTCTGCTAAATGACTAAATGTATGTAAATTGTTTTTTTTATAACATTTTCAATTAAAATTGAATTATATTATTATAATTAAAAATAAACAAATAAATTAAATTAATTTGAAACTCATTCCACTCATGTTTTAATGAAGGTTCATTAGTCATATTCCACAAAACAAAAAAACACAACAAGACACAACACAAACAACAAAACAAAACAAAAAACACAAAAAGACAACACAAAACAAAACAAAAAACACAACACAAACAACAAAACAAAACAAAACAAAAAACACAACAAAACGCAAAACAAAACCATTTCCTTAATCTAAAGTTGACTTCACCTAATAGGCTTGAGCCTCATATCAGCCTTCCAAAATATTTCTAATTTTCTACATTTCCATTTTTTCATTTTGCTCTTCTGTCTGCTGAACAGGGCAACTTCCTTTCAGGCAGCTGCAAACTGAACATCAAACGCATCCACATATTCCAAAGAAATCAAACAACTGTGTGTTTTGCGAACTTCACAGTACACTTCCCTGACATACTGCGTCTCTTTAAAGTTTGAGACTGATGTTTTTTTGATGCAAACCTCAAAACCGCCAACAGAGCTTGTACAGGTGGTCACCGATACAACTTATGGGGAGCAGTTGAGTCACACCAATCATTTAAAGTCAACCACCATGTGTGTGCATGGCACACATCCCATGTGCAGCACGGCTTAGGTACTTACATTGGGTTTCAGGTTGGCTGCTTGTCTGTAGTACTTTTCAGCGGCATCATTGAGGCTGGCTTGCCTGAAAGAGCAAATAAACATTGCGTGTTACTTCATCCTGTTGCACAAGTTTATCGCTGGCCATTAAACCGTGGACTATTTGTTAACCAACTTTAATGCCATGGAAAACAGGGTTATAAAACTGCCTGACTTCACAATTTTTGAGCAGAAAATGTGCCCTCATTTCTTAGGTCATGACCTACAACCTATTGGATGCTCTTTGAAGATCTTTAGCGCTTTTACAACTCTAAGGTTTTATTTTTTCATGGGAAAAAACCCCATCCTCTAGCTGCTTGTACCTGCTGGTAGCAATATCTTCTTTTTGAAGAGAGTTCAATATGGAGACAATGACCGTCGGCCAAGAAAGGCTGGGTTGTAATGATAAAAGAGAGCTGAAGATTTCCTTTATTTTTGATAGATGACCGCTTTCCTTATACTGGCCGGTTTTATAAACCCTCTTTCATCCTCAACAAAACTCTTTGTTGAAAAGAGCTAAGGTTAAACGTTTCAAGAAATCGTTTTTTATTAAGGGAAAATATGTATGTACTGTACTGTAATATTCAAGCAGTGAGATGATGGATACATTATATGTGTGGAAAACATTCCAGTTTCTTAACCTTGACAGAGAGATGAATGAGGTAAAAGATAAATGAAGACACTGGATTGAAATACAATTTAGGAGGACATTTCTACAAGCAAAGCTGAAGATATCAAAAGTTGTGTTTAGGACACATGCAATGGCTGACAAGTTTGAATTCGGCTTGCAACATCTCCCAATCCCATTCTCAACATCCTCACTCTGCTATTCTATGAATAAAAAAGCCAAAAATAAAATAAAGTGCTGAGTTGGGAGAATGTATGGGGTCAGGGTGAACTTCGAACAGCTAAACATGGTGTTGTCCTTCCCTTTGTACAGTTAGAGACGGCACTTTTAGGTCATTTTTTTTTAGTTGGTTTGTGAAAAATCAGCTGTTATAGAAGTAGGTTACAAAGTCCTTATAGTTTATCTACTAAAAATAAAAAAACTAAATAATAATTAAAATATTCATGGAAACAATAAGAATAATTTAAAGTAGAAGGGTCATCCAAAACCATTATGTTCTTTGATTCTAATTGTAGAACAAGAATGTGACCTGACAAATCTGCATGGTGTGTATGCCTATATTTACAAATTACTGAAAACAGATCTAGATCAGTGATTTTTTTAAGTCTAGTTGATGCCCAGTTGGTTTCTGTGTCAGCAAAAATAAAGTAAAACATGGAAACAATAAGAATAATTTAAAGTAGAAGGGTCATCCAAAACCATTATGTTCTTTGATTCTAATTGCAGAACAAGAATGTGACCTGACAAATCTGCATGGTGTGTATGCCTATATTTACAAATTACTGAAAACAGATCTAGATCAGTGATTTTTTTTAAGTCTAGTTGATGCCCAGTTGGTTTCTGTGTCAGCAAAAATAAAATAAAATAATAAAATAAAGTAAAATAAAATAAAACAAAATTCACTAACTAAAATAAATAAAACGAGAATAAAACAATGGTTGCTTTTAAAAATATTTGAAACATTAATTACTCAATATTTTGAATAATGATATTTACTAATTGAATGTATTAAATTTAGTACATTGACATTATAAAGATAACATGTTGCATGTGACATTTACTTTTTTTCCACTCATGCAATATGAATGAGTCTTAAAATATATAGGGGCCTTCACCAAAAAAGTTTGAAAACCCCTCATTTATTTGTCTTCCTGAATTAAATGGCCTGACCTTTTCTGAATATGTTCACTAACTAAAATAAATAAAACGAGAATAAAACAATGGTTGCTTTTAAAAATATTTGAAACATTAATTACTCAATATTTTGAATAATGATATTTACTAATTGAATGTATTAAATTTAGTACATTGACATTATAAAGATAACATGTTGCATGTGACATTTACTTTTTTTCCTCTCATGCAATATGAATGAGTCTTAAAATATATAGGGGCCTTCACCAAAAAAGTTTGAAAACCCCTCATTTATTTGTCTTCCTGAATGAAATGGCCTGACCTTTTCTGAATATGTATATGGCTAAAAATGACCTGTTAACTTTATTAAAAAAAAAAAGTTACATAAAAATCTATGGGATGACTGGTTCTCAACAGTGGACTTAAGCATTTAACCGAAACCATGTGTTACTGTTCACCCTCCACAATTCTGTTTTACAATCCTTTCCTCCTGAATGATGAGTCTGTGCAATTTTCACATTCACATGCACGTAATAAAATGGGGCTTGATCGTGACCACAATTGTCTGCAGGGACAAAGGATTCTGTTATAATCAACTATGGGAAAGTGACCACCCTTAACACAGAGTCAAAACTGTGTTAGTCTTCACGACCACAACTGCAATATATGGTGAAAATCTAAAAGACAGCATCAACTGGACCTCCCCAAGTCAGATATAAACCTCCAAAATACAATAAACCAAATGTTTAATTTTCGGCAACCAAACTTTTCCTCCACCCCACCGCAGTCTACTCATTATTTCATTCCAAAGTGGTCACCAACCTTCCGAGAAAAAGCATAAAATAATTCATGACCCGTTGATGCAACCATGTAAGACTGCATTACATAAAAGCTTCAATGGTAAGCTTTTATTGTACAAAGCTATAGAACTCCTCACAAACAAATGGAGAGCTATGGATTATGGATTAATAACATGAGCAACACTGGCTGGAAGCAATTTATCTGAAGTCTGACAGCAATTGTCTTGAAATGTATTGTATAAGAAGGTGAATTACAAAAGAGGTGCTTTAAAGGAGATTAATTTAGACTTTAAGGAGAAGGAGAGGCTTTTAGCAGACCACTGTCAGAATGCTAAAATCCTCTCTAAAATGCATTTCAAATTTACCCCTTAGTTCACCCCAAAATAGAAATCCTGTGCATCTGTATGAGTCCAAACAACTGATAAAAACATCACAATAATCCACAAGTAATCCACACGACTCCAGTCCATCGGTTAACATTTTGTGAAGCAAAAATCAGAGTAATTGTAAGAAACAAATCCACCATTAAGCCATTTTAACTTCAAATAGAAGCTTCTGGCCAAAATACAAGTCCATAACGCTTCCTCCAGTGAAAAAGTCCATCTCTGTTGTCCTCTCACATGACAATCCACTAACATATTTGTTTAGAAGTGTTTTGGCTTGTAAACTCTGCCTGATCTGAGCATATTTCTCTCCTGATTCAGAAATTTATACAGGACTCTTACTTTAGCTAGAAGCAATGGCTTGAAGTTAAAATGTCTTGATGGATTTTTTTGTTACAAACACACAGCATACATTTATATTAATTGATGGACAGGAGTCTTGTAGATTACAGTGATCATTTATTAGCTGTCTGAACTCTCATTCTGATGGCACCCATTCACTGCAGAGGATCTAAGTGTTGTAATGCCAAATTAATGCAAGTGATATAATGAAAAATAGTAAGTACATTTTCAGCAAATTTTCATTTTTGGGTGAACTATTCCTTTAAAGTACTGCAGCTTAGCATACTAGAAAAAAACACTGGAAAAAAGTGTGCAGCACGTACAATGAATTGTCTTGAACTAAATACGATATTTTCACAGACAAACAAACACAACAATAAGGGAGAACTTGTTTTGAAGTAGTAAAATGTGGCATTTTACTTTGCGTGGCAGTGACACGGTTTGGCCGGGGTTTCGAATTACCACTGCTCGTTTGAAGAGGGCAAGGAAACTGATAGTAAGGAAGCAAACGTCGGTGTCGGTGCAGACGGGCCCCTGAGAGCCACACATCTGAAGCGGCCTCGTACTTCCCCACCCCACTCAAATTCACCCCCCACCCGAGACCCTTCTGCAAGTCCTTCCAAGAGAAACACACAAGGAACCTGATCTTCAAATGAGTCGGACCGCAAGCTAGCACGAAGGCAGGGGACACAGCCTAAGACTGCAATTAACAACCAAGTGTTCTTGTAGCAAAAAGCACCGTGCAAAATCTGCTGTAGGATTGGAATACTTTTTAGGAAGTGTGTAACTATATACCATGTGAACTCCATGTAGTAATTATGAGAAGTGTATTCAACAGAAACCTCGAGGCGAGGGTATTAATGCAGGCTTTCCATTACATGTCCTGCGGAGCACTGCAACAGAAAGAAAACATTCATGCAAATGGGGAGGTGGAAGAAGTAAAAGAAAAAGAGAAAGAGATAGAAAAACATCCTAGAGCGCAGCATGTTTTGCTTCAGGATCCAGACTTCACATTGGACATCAAGGTGGTAACCCAATATAGTAACAATTATTGTACCAAAAAAAAAATAAAAAAGGCACCATTCTTTATCGAAATTGAATAAACTCCAGTTAAATTTCTGGATTTGCACTGATTTTTTATTACGGTAGTAACAAAAAAATAAAAATAAAAAGTAAGTGGAATTGCAATGTGATTTTAAGGAAGCAGAATTAAAAACATAAATGTACATAAATTGTATTTTTTTTAAATTATAAATATAAAGTTTATCAAGAGCCTTGTTTGAAAATTTTGAAGAGTTTTATTAGCCTCACAGACAAACATCCTTCAATTTAATTGAATTTCTAACTCATGAATTCAATTTTTTCAATTCTGAAATTTGTCCAATCCTGCTATGAAACTAAAAGTTTCCCTTAATAAATGAAGTATTTATTTATGAAACTAAAACTAGATATTTCTAGATACCTTATATAAGACTTATAGACTTATTATAAGATATATATAAGACTTATAGATAACTTCCCATAAATAAATAATAACCCTCAAACCAATATGGCTGCTAAGTGCTACAGAAATGTTTATACTTTGTCCAGGAATATGGGTATTTAATCATAGGAAAAAAAATCTGTCCGTATGGATTTAGCGTGTCCTCCTCACCTGAGCATGTGAGCTGCACTGAAAACCACATCAAATTCTTCACTGTCCAACTGGGCGGCTTTCTCTGCCATTTCAGCGGCCTTCAAAAGCCGCGACTCCTCCAGCAAAAACTGACCTGAGGAAAAAAAAAAAGCGGGGGAATTTCATTTTATATTTGCTTTTACTCCCTCGGAAAGACAAATGTGAAATATTTCCTTTGGCTGTGGGATGGATAGTTTGGTCTGCCCTCTCAATGAATCTGTGAAACACGAGATAGCAAGGGCGCTGCACACCGCGCGAACCATCTGACAGACCATTTGTCCAATTGAGATTTCTCCGATAGGCATGTTTCCGTGACAAATTAAATGCTTACTCCTGTAAGGTTGTGGAAAGGGGACTGACTGGGATCTCAAACCTCTGCAGTATCGTTGCTAGAGGCATCAGTCAAGACTGAAGTGGAATAAATAGCCTGTTGCTATTTGCCGAAATGGCTCTCCACACTTCTGAACACTGCTGGGCCAAAACCAAACATTTTTTTCCCAAACAGAAATGACCAAAGTAGAAATCTAAGAAGCGATGTAATCCAAAATGAAGATAGCTAGAACGCTGTCATTGATTATGGTTTTTTTGGGATGCCACAAATAGTTTTATACAAATATTAAAAAAATCTGGCACAAAGCAGAGTCTTTCTCCCCATGGTAAATGACAGTGGCGGTCTATCATGTGAAACGGAAAATACTAAGAAGCAGACACATTCTCTGATACAGTGGTTATGCACTAGAGAACAATAGAAGGAAATACAAGATCATCCTTATGGCCTTTGGACAGTACGTGTTCTGAAGATGTCTGATCAGACACGTACTAAATTATATTACGCAGATGCCTTGGCAGCGATCGAGTGGAAAACATATTGTTGGGGTTAGCCTGTGATGCTGTGTTTATCTGGACTAAATCCATGCATGGAAGCATCCAGGGACAGGTCAACCATAAAAATCTAGGATCTGAGGAAAAGCATGGAAGACTCATTTGTCGAGACAAAAAAAAAAAAAAGCATTATTAGGATCTTAAATTAAAAAACAAAAACAACTTTTACATTAAATTGTACTTACATTTTAAGAATGAAAACTAAAACTGTTGATAAAATATGACAGCATACTGTACAATAATATAATAATGCATTTAAAATATTGTTAAATGTTTCAACATTTTGGCTATTACAGTATGACAGTTTTGTTCTTGTCATTTTTCACATTTCAACTTGAAAAATTACATGCGTCGTGGTACTCGTGAACACGCGTCGAAGACTGATACAGAAGAGAAGAAATCATTGAATAAAGTAATTATTTTTGTTTTCTTGGCGCACAAAAGGTATTCTCATAGCTTCATAAAATTACAGTTGAACCATTGATGTCACATGGACTATTTTAATGATGTCCTTACTACATTTCTGGGCCTTGAATGTGTCAGTTGTATTGCTGTCTATGCAGGGTCAGAAAGCTCTCGGATTTCATCAAAAATACCTTAATTTGTGTTCCGAAGATGAACGAAGGTTTGACGGGTTTGGAACGACATGAGGGCGAGTAATTAATGACAGAATTTTCATTTTTGGGTGAAATATCCCTTTAACACTGAAAATAATGATGCGATGCACAAAAAGAATTATCTTTAGAAAAAGTGTTGAAACAAAAAAAGAGATAGATAAAAAAATCCCTGTGAAGGAAACTGAGCTCCAATAATCTGAGTCTCAGTTGGAGAAAATGGCCACAGGCTATAATTTGGCTAAATCACATTCATGCAGACACACATGAAAACTCGTATGCTTTTTCCTTAGAGAAATAAGGCCTCGTTATCTCTCTCTGCTCGCTGAGGCGTGGGTGGTTTCAGTGGAATAACATCTGTATACCAGGTTCGCTTCAGATAACACCGAAACAATGACTTCCTGCACGGCACCATCTATCTTGCTGCGAAAAAGCCTACAAATGTAACCTCAATTACAAGACAAACGTCAGCTAAAGAGCTAAATGCGAACAATTATGGCCAATATGGAGTTGAGGAGAAACCGCACAAGCTAGAGCAGATGCAATGTGTGGATTCATATACTGTACCTCATTATCTTTGCATTACTGGATGACTAGCTAATGTCGTTTCAGCCCATGTGTGCAGGTTGAGGAGAAATAAAATAAAGTAATACCAACCATAATGCATATAGCAGTTCCCTTTAGTGGGATCGAGCTCGATCGCCTTGAGAAAGAACTTCTCCGCTTCCGTTTTCTGACCCTGATATGAAAACAAACAAAGCATATCAGGAATTTCTTCAGGGTGAGGTTTTCATTTCATTTTTAACCTTTGACCTGATATATAATGTTCACTAGAGCAACAGGAAATGTGTTTAGCTGCTATAATTGCACACGCTGACTACATTATTCCAAGAGTTATCTTTAAATAAAAAATAAATAACAGACAAAATCAACAACAACAAAAAGTTTTCCATTATAGTTAATATAGCACACAAAGTTCACAAAATAAAATACTATTTTATATTTAATGAAATGGGATTGCATGCATGCATGATAACTGTATAGTATGCAACTGAATGAATAAATAAATATATAAATAAACAAACAAACAAAATTTTTTATTTTATTAGGCAAAAAGAAAGAGACAGCTGAATGATAAGAGAAAAAAAATTATCGAAAGAGTATTTAGTGATCATTATACAAAAATATTCCAAAGAACCGAGTGATAAAAACTGAATACATCTCCAGTGTATCTTAAAACCTGAAGAATTCATACTGGTTCCAGTCTGAGATGTATTATCATACCCTGTTCTCACTTGATTAACCGTGCATGGATTTATCTGCAGACCAGATGCAAAACAGTGATATATTTTTATTTACACTGTATAATTTAAATCCCCAGCGCAGCGATGTGTAACTTTAAATCAATGCATTGCACTCACAGCGATGCCTACACTTGATAGAGCCAGTGCTGTTTAATGTTAGACATGGATGTTAACAAACTTACACCATGTCAAGAGTGTGAGAAAAATAAAGAAACAGTCACTTGGAACACTTGACCTGTATAGTTTATATGCAATGGGGGGAAAAAAGGTCAGAGTAAAGTTCAGTCTGAAGATTTTTTTAATGTTTTGAAAGAAGTGTCTTATGCTCACCATAGCTACATTTAGTTGATCAAAAACACAGTAAAAACTGTAACATTGTGAAATATTATTACAATTTAAAATAACTTTTACTTTTTAAATATATTTAAAATTTATTGTATTCATGTGATGGCAAAACTGAATTTACTCCAATCTTCAGAGTCACACGATCCTTCAGAAATCATTCTAATATGCTGTTTTGCTGCTCAAGAAACATTTCCTATCCATATCAAACTAAATACTTTGATTGATTTGATATCCTTGCTGAATAAATGTATTGATTTCTATAAAACTGCAATCTTTTGAACGGTAGTGTATACCAAATATTTATACTTTGTGGTTTTGTTGCACATGAAACAATGCATGTCCTTACTTCAATAAGTAAAGATTCAGCACAAGGATAAGCTTTGTCAATTCCTGACAAACACATCTCAGTGTCATCCGCCGAAGTCGTGTTATCACTCTAAAGCAATATCCTGCTTCACCCCTTTCCTCTGAACACACACACACACACACACACCCCTGTGCTGGAACCCCGACCCCTTAATCTGAGCATGACATCAGAGAGACAACAGACACACTGCTGTTCCAATGTCTCTGTAGTGTTCGTCAACGGATTCTGAGCCTGATTAGTGATGGAAATGAGAGAATTCAGTAATGTAGCTGAAACACTCAAACACACACACACACACATCCCTGGGGTTGGGCTCTTTGACCCGGTGAGTTTGTGAAGGGAGGTCAGGGAAGGTCAGCACAGCAGGGGAAAGGACTGAGTTTCATCATGTCTCCCTCTTTTGACCCCTGACCGTGAAGATTTCCCTGTTCCCCACCTGGAAATGATGCCGGGACAATGTGATGCTGACAGGACGAACATTTTCTCATCGTTAATTTATATTTTTAGATGAATTAACCACATTGAGACGACAGTAAAGCCTTTTTTATTAATAATTCTATTTCAAATAAATGCTGTTCTTTGGAACTTTCTATTTATCAAATAATCCAAAAAAATGATTCTAAATTCACAATAAAAAAAAAAGAAAAAGACAAAAAACAGCACAACGTTGATAAGAAATGATTCTTGAGCACCAAATCTCATCACGTGAGGGATCACATAACACTGAAGAGTAGAGTAATGATGCTGAAAATTCAGCTTTGCCATCACAGGAAAAAAAATTACATTTTAAAATAGATTACAATAGAAATCTATTATTTTAAATTAGAATAATATTTCACAATATTTCTGTTTTTAACAAGACCGACAGCACTGGGATAGAAATATGTTGTATTATCTAAAGCAATTTTAAAGGGATGTTATAACTAGGGTTTGTCAATTTAACACTTTAATTCAGTGTAATTAATTTAAAAAAGCTATACAAAATGAAAGCAATTAATCATGCTATATAATTAATTGTAATTGTTTCTATAGAGTTTAATGCAGTTTAATACTGATGTACAAGTTTCATTTCTGATGGGAATTCTTTTAACAAACAATGATGTGAGTTTAATTAAATTAATTGGAATACTTAATTAACAACATTAAAGGGGTCATATGATGCAATTTCAAGTTTTCCTTTCTCTTTGGAGTGTTACAAGCGGTTCGTGAATAGATAAGATCCCTAAAGTTGCAAAGACTAAAGTCTCAAACCCAAAGAGATAAAAGTTAAGACTGGTCCACGCCCTCCTAAATTGCTCGTTTAAACACACCCCCACATGTCTACGTCACGATGTGGGAAGATTTGCATAACACCACCCAAATGTTCACGCAAAGAAAGAAGGAGTAACTTT